ACGCCGCAGTCCCTTCTCCTCTATTCTCCTCCCTGGATCTTGGGCACGCACACACATGTGCCCAGCGTGAGTTTAAGCCACCGGGTCCAGGACTCGGGCCGTGGTCAACTATGTGGGAGTCCAGCCACGTAGCCATTACGCCAGCTGCTGGCTCCCCTCGGGTATTTCTATTGCCAATCATTACTGCTCCCATTGTCTACTCTCCTCCTGTTCCTGGACTTTTTTGACAGCATGCCTAATGTTGCATTTGCCAAATTGGTTATAGAAATTTGGAGCTCAGGGCTTTGCTGGGAAGGATTTATGTTGCTTCCGCCAGGGGCAGTCGCCGGGAGGGTAGAGGCCGAACTATCTGCTCGGTTTCCCCTTCTCTAAAGACACAGCTTTGCAGGCCTCAGCCCACGTGCATAGGGCCCATCCAGGCCTCCTCCTGCTAGCTTCTCCATCCAGTCTCTGTCCCTGTGGCCTCCTGAAGCTTCCAGAAATGTGGCCCAGCCTCTCAGCTCCCCGATCTGAAACTGGCAAATGTCCCCGGGAGTAGAAGGACCTTGGTACCAGGCTCGTTGCCAACCTCGCTCCTTCTAGATGTTCTTCGCTGTCTCCTCGCGCTCCAAAGCCTTCGGACTGCCTCGCCTTTATCCATGATAGGGCACGTGTGACGGGTGGGGAGGGTACACTCCACGGCTGTCAGTCACACAGTCCCCTGCCCCCACCCCCTGAGGTCCTGGGGCTCATGCCAGTGCCCGACCACTGGATTTTTAAAGTTTTTTTTTTTTTTTTTTGCCATAGGGCACGTGTGCTCCCTGGAGAGAGACAGAGACAATGAGAGGGAAAGTGACAGGGTGTGGCCATGCCTCAGTCCTTTCCGCATTCTCCTGATATTTTGGGCCTGGGCACATCTGCCAGGAGACGGGACTCTAAACACGATCGGCCGTGTGGGCATCTAGCGCCGTAACTTGCTGGCCTCCACCACACTGTTTTGTGTTTTTTTAAAGAATGATTTATTTCATTTTATTTATTCATTCATTTTCTTTAATTTTACCAGAGAGACACAGAGAGAGAGAAAGTGGGAAAGTGAGAAAGCAAGTCCCCAGGTCCAGGACCTGAACCGTGATCGGCCATGTGGGAGTGTCCAGTGCCCATCCACCACACCACCTGCTGGTCCCCACACTGGTTTTTAAACAGGTATTTTCTTGGGCCCAGTTGCAGTAGCACACTGCTAAGATGTGCCCTGCAAACCGGAACCACAGAGGAGGCCCAGGTTCGATTCCTGGTCCAATCCAGAGTCTGGACTTCTGTAATCTCACTTGGGGAGGTGGATTATGATGTGGTGAGGCCCTTAAAAAATTCTGTTTTTCTCGTTGGCTTTACTGATTGTCCTTTGGATTAGGGTATAGTAGTTCCTAATGTTTTTCTTTTTTTTCTTTCCCCCTTTTAATTCTGGAACGTTTCAATGAACTACAAAAACAGAGAGAACAGTGCTTCCATGTGTCCGTCACCCACTTCCATAGTCGCCAGCAGCTCCCACTTTTTTTTTCCTGGATTGTTTTAAAGCAAATCCTAGACATCATATACGTTTTTCCTTAAATGTTAGTGTTCATTGCTAAAAAAGACCTTTAAAAAAAAATACAGAGTTGCCTCCATGGCCTGCTGATTAAGGGGGCCGGATCCCATGTGGCCAGCCACGTTGAACCCCAGCCCTGGTGGCTTGAAGAACATTCCAGGAGCCTGTGCTTGTGTGCCCCAGATCTGGGCAGGATGGAGAGACGGGGAAGGGGTTACGATCTGCTCACGCACATGTGGGGAGTATTTTCTTTCTTCCTCTCTCTGTGTCTCCTTCCCTAGTGAGCACAGGTGCCCTCTGACCAATTAAAAAAGAAGGAAAGGAAGAAAGAGACAAAAAAGAAACAACCACTGTATCACTGAGGCATCTGGGCACCAGCAGATGGCATAATGGCTATGTCGCTGGACTTCCATGTAGAGGGCCGCGGTTCGTGTCCTGGACCCAACAACTTACAACTCATGCCTGGTGCGTGTGCGTGCGTGCCCATAATCCCGAGAGGAGAAGGGAGGAGAAGGGGTTGTGGTGTGGCCATCCCCCGGGGGGTGATTTGTCACTTTCTGTCTCTCTGGCAAGCACGGCACCCTATCGCAAAAATCTGTCTTAAACATTAAGGCACCCGACACAATTAGCAGTAATTCATCGATAGCTTTCTGTGCTGGTCTGCGTCAGAAGCCTCTACAAGTTTCCAAATGCCTTTTCACAAGTGCAAGTAGTTTACTTCAAAAACCTCTGCTTATAGCTACTTCCTATTTTCTATTCTGTATTTTTTTAAAGTCTGTGTTTCTCTTCTCCTTTTTCTTGGTTTGTCTTGCCAGAGGTCTATCAGCTTTGGTTTTGTTAATCTTCTGTTTTGTTTTTTTTTTGAGAGGTTTTTCGCTATCGGGCGTGTGCACTCGCCAGACAGACAGAGACATAGAGACAGAAAGCGAGAAATCACCCCCCAGGGGGGATGGTCACGCCGCAATCCCGTCTCCTCCATTCTCCTCTCGGGATCTTGGGCACGCACGCACACGCGCCCGGCGTGAGTTTTAAGCCACCGGGTCCGGGACGCGAACCGCGGTCGACTACGTGGGAGTCCAGCGACACAGCCATTACGCTAACTGCTGGTTCCCTGTGTTTATTTATTTATTTATTTTTAATGGCTGTTACTCTGTTTTATTTCCTATTTACTTTTATGAATTTCTTATTTGGGGCTTTGCTGTATCACTTTCTTTCTAAAGACTTAGTTTAATTTTATTTATTGTTATTATTATCATTGTTATTGGAGAGGTTTTTGCTGTAGGGCATGTGTGCTTGCCAGAAAGACAGAAAGTGAGAAATCACCCCCCAGGGGGAATGGCCACGCCGCAACCCCTCCTCCATTCTTCTCTCGGGATTTTGGGCACGCACGCACACGCATCCGGCATGAGTTTAAGCCACTGGGTCCGGGACTTGAACTGCGGTCAACTGCATGGGAGTCCAGTGACATAGTCATTATGCCAACTGCTGGTCCCTGTTATTATTTTTAATTTGTTTTAATGTAGGGCCCTGCACCTTGCCCGCCGTGCCACTCGGCTGGCCTCCATCGTCAGACTTGTGGTTGCTGACTCCTGGCTCCCTCCTGCTGAGGCTGGAGGAGATCCTGCGTGTGTCTCTCTTGTGTGTCTCCCACGGAGACTTCTCTGTGCCTCAGGCTTTTCTGGTCCTGCAGACCTGACGGGATGCGCGGCACGGTGCTCCGAGCCTGGCGTGTGTGACATCCGGCCTCGGGGCCAGCGCGCTGCCAGGACGTGGTAGCTCGTGCCCGCTCGGCATGTGCGCGGCGGGGCTGGAGCAGCTGGGCTCAGCGCTGAGGTTCCGCTCGAACCTGGACAGCGACCCCATGCCAGGGTAAGCAGAGCCAGCGGGCCAGCCAGGAGCCGGGCTCAGGTCGGGCTGGGAGGTGGGAGGCCTGGGGGTGGGTCCCCGACAAGCTGCGGCTCACCCTGTCTGACCTCCGGGACCGTGCTCATCCCGTCCGAAGCGGGCCTCACTGTAGCGCTGGGTGCTGGCGGGGCCGGCTGGGGTCGGGAGCTGACAGAGGGCCCGGGGCGTACTGACGGGGGATAGGATGGGGTGCGGATGCCTGATGGGTCCGATGGGAGGAAGTGACAGTGGTGGCAAAGGTGACGGGCTGCAGAGCTAACTGTGGGTGCCAGGCCATGCTGGCGATGGTGCAGGATGGTGGCGGTGCTGGCCCTGGATGGTGACGGTGGTGCGAGTGGTGACGTGGGGCTGAGTGGTGACAGGAGTGGTGTCAGGTGATGGCGGTGCTGGTCCCGGGTGGTGGCGGTGCTGGTCCCAGGTGGTGACAGTGTTGGTCCCGGGTGGTGACGGTGCTGGTCCCGGCTGGTGATGGTAGTCCCGGGTGGTGACAGTGCTGGTCCCGGGTGGTGACAGTGCTGGTCCCGGGTGGTGGCAGTGCTGGTCCCGGGTGGTGACGGTGCTGGTCCCGGGTGATGACAGTGGTGGTCCTGCAGGTCGGTGGGCACGTGGGTTTTCCACCTGGATGGTGACGGTGCTGGTCCCGGGTGGTGGCAGTGCTGGTCCCGGGTGGTGACGGTGCTGGTCCCGGGTGATGACAGTGGTGGTCCTGCAGGTCGGTGGGCACGTGGGTTTTCCACCTGCTGTCGGACCTCGGTCTTTCAGGGAACTCCTGCCCAGCCTTGGGAGGAATAGACCTTGGCCCTGGCTTGTGGAGCTCAGGCGCCTGTCCTGGCCCATCTGGGTGGCTGTGGGTCTCCCTGGCCACAGTGGTGACGGTGCTGGTCCCGGGTGATGACAGTGGTGGTCCTGCAGGTCGGTGGGCACGTGGGTTTTCCACCTGCTGTCGGACCTCGGTCTTTCAGGGAACTCCTGCCCAGCCTTGGGAGGAATAGACCTTGGCCCTGGCTTGTGGAGCTCAGGCGCCTGTCCTGGCCCATCTGGGTGGCTGTGGGTCTCCCTGGCCACATCGGGCTCAGGGCAGGGTCTGTGGGTGACATGCAGTGAGCCCGTCCTTAATACTGGGGCTGGTCAGAGACCAAGACTCCAACACACCCCTCCTTCCACACCCAGGGAGCACCCCCCTGCCCCGAGGCCCTGGGACTTGGCTTTCAGGTGGCCCATGGGGTTTCTGACGCCCAGCTAGGAGAGGGCCTGGCCCTGGGGATGGTGGGCACCGTGGACGGTCTAGGTGGTGAGTGAGCTTTGGGGAGAAGGTCACCCTGGCTGCCCTCAGAGGATGGAGAGTGGACAGGGGACCGGGTGGACGGCAGAAGGCACGTGGGAGGTGGAGATGGCGTGGTGGGGAGAAGGGAGGATGGAGACCTTCCTGGTTGGTGAGGGCTCAGGGAGTGGAAAGGGGCAGGAGCTGCCCTGGTTCCTGCTCTGGAGACAGGGCCAAGGGTGAGCAGCGGGGGATGCAGGCGGGCCATGCTCCGCATCTGCATCTGGGCTTGTGCGCCTCTGGCCACCCGTCCCCTCATCCTTGGGCTGTTGGGCTGCCTTTGGAACTTGGCCTTTGGACTCCTCCATCGGAGGGGTAGCACCAGCCCAGGGAGTTGTTCTCTCCCCTCGGAGGTGTGACCCATTAGTGCTGCAGCCTGCTGTGGCCTGCCCTGCTGGGAGCTACCGAGGGTCCCCAGGGCACTCACTCACTTGTGGGATATTAATTGAGCATCTACTATACGACTGTATGTCAGGCCCGGAAATACAGTGATGGCCCCAAGCAGCCCAAGATGCAGCTAATCAAATGCGCACACAAAGAAGTGTGTGTTTAGAAACTGAGGTAGAGAGACCAGCAGTTAGAGTAATGGCTACGTCACTGGACTCCCATGTAGTTGACTGCGGTTCGAGTCCTGGACCCGGTGGCTTAAATTCATGCTGGCGCGTGTGCGTGTGTGCTTAAGATTCCGAGAGGAGAATGAAGGAGAAGGGATTGGAGTGTGGCCATCCCCCCTTGGGGGGGTGATTTCTCTCTTTCTGACTCTCTGTCTCATTGTCTTTCTGGTGAGTGCATGTGCCCTATGGCATAAACCTCTCCAAAAAAAAAAAAAAGAAAAGAAAAAAGAAACACTGAGGTGGAAAGGAATTGAATTCCAAGCATTTCCCAAGGCCCTGACCTCATCTGCGTGGTCAGGGAAGGGGTCCCTGAGGTCTGAGAATGATTCAGGCGCGTGGGTGGGAGGAAGATGAGGACCACGGGGCAGGAACAAGGCAGGCACTGCGGGACAGCCCCAGGGAGGGCGCAGCTGGGGGCTTCCAAAAGCAGGAGGAGGGGCAGGTGGCTGGAGCAGAGGTGGGGGGTTGGAGGCTCCAGTAAGGAGCTCCTTCCAGTCCAGGAAGGGGTTTTGTTTTATTTGAATTTTAAGTGAAAGATGAAGGTTCGCGTTACTGTTCAGTTTTGCTGACTGGTGAAGCAGCCCAGATTTTCATCTTCCGTCGCCGCTGTCACAGACATCCAGAAGCACAGACGGGTGGGGCGGTGTGAGCGGTTATAGGGCAAGTTCCTGCGGGAGCCCGAGACGGTGGGAGCCACAGCAGGCATCTGAGCAGGGGGCTGTGGGGAGGGCGACGCTGCTGGCTGGAGCAGGGCTTGTGGCTTGGGCAGGGGTGGGGCGGGGCCGGGATGCTGGTGAGCCAGAGTGTGGTTGGGGCACACCTGGGCTGGGGTGCCTCTTGGACCCCCAGGGGAGCTGTCCTGGGCAGGCTGTGGCCAAGCTGCCTCGAGAGGCCAGGCTGGCCCTGGGAAGGCCGCTCCTCCTCCTGTGGGCTCCCTCATGGCTGCCCTGTGTCTTTAAGAGGGTGGCCGGGCCTCCTGTGTCTGTCCTTCCTGCCGCTGACGTCAGCAGAGGGAGGACCAAGGAGGCTTGATTTCCTTTTCCTGGAAAGGGGAGGAGATTGAAGCTGAGTGGCCCATGATGGAAAGGGGAAGTCCAGGGGTGCAGGAGACCCCCAGGTGAAGGTGGACGTTAACATGGGGTGAGTTTGAGCGCCATCCTCTGTGTGTGAGTGTGTGTGTGTACACGTGGGTGCGATAGACACGGAAAGAGAGATACAGAGGTAGGAAGCTTGCATGGGAGGTGGCGATGCCCTGGGGGGCGCGTGTCTGAGTGTGCGTGTGCGTGTGTGCGTGTGTGTGTGAGAGTGCATCTGTTCCCACCCTGCTTGGGCAGAAAGAGCCCGTGATCTCATGGCCCTACCGGGCTGCGTGGCTGCGTGGCTGCTGGAGGCTGCTTGGTGGCATGGCTGTGAGCCGGAGTGTAGAGGCCTGCCCTGACCTGTCCTAGGCTGTGGTGTGGCCCTGCCCAGGTGGTGCTGCCCCTGGGTGCAGGGTGAAAGCCCCTGGCCCCAGAGCGGGGTAGGGCAGGGGGCGGGCCACACCCCCCTGAGCCTCTGGCACCCGCAGGGGCAGCGGCTCAGGTTTGGGTTGCTGGGTACGTTCCCCTTGCCCCGACCTGGTGGTAGGATGAAGCTTGGCCTCCAGGATGTGGATGGAAAGGGGTGCTGTCTACCTTGGAAGTCAGGCTGGGACCCTCCTCACCCAGGGGCCGCCTTCTAAGTGCAAGCCCTCCCCTAGGGCCTGGGCGGGCAGGGAGGCTTGTCTCCCAGAACGCACTGCCGCCTTCAGGCCCGTGGTGCCCCGGCTGCCGTGCGCTGGCTGTGAAGGGGCCGTGTGGGCAGAGGCAGGAGGCGGGCATGCGTGTGAACACCGGCCTGGCACCCGAGCTGGCAGGGAGCTTGCTTGGCAGGGCCGGGGCTGCTTCCGGAGTCGTTTAAGCTGACACCCGCCTGCGCCCAGGCCAGGGCAGGTCTGTGGCGCACCTCTGAGTCGCGATCGCAGTGGGCCGTGGCGTGAGCTCGATAACCATCTGCTGCGGCGGGACGGGAACAGGATGTGAGGGCGGGGTGCCTGCGCACCCTCCCGGGCCGGGGGTTTCACAGACTCAACACACCCA